TATATATAAATCATATATATATATAAAATCATGCATTGAGACTTAGCTCAATTTACATCTCAAGTCCCTAACTTCCAGCAGCTGAAATGACATCATATTTAATGCTCTTGAAGTCTACTGCCATTGAGGGGCACTGAATGGCACCACTTAGGGATTTCTATGATCTTTAGACTATTAGCGATCTGAAGGCTGGGCTGTACTGTATTTCTCTTTCAGCGTCTAGCACCCCACACAATGCCTGACATATTGTGGGTACTTAGGGATGTCTGTTGAATCAAATGGTCTACTCCCTATGAATTCTGAGCCTGGAAGCCTTCACACTCTGATGCAATCTTCCTTTGAAGCATTTCACACTGTTTAGAGCCTTGACATCTCAGACTACAGTCCATGGATCTAGTTAACCGAGGTCTGTTTTCTTTTAAAGGCTGTAAGGATGAAACCTGTGTGAAAGGCCCAGGGTAGGTCACTCTCTGATGAGCCGCGGTGGCGCTGGGTTGGGTGCTGCGTGGGGAGCACCAAGGGCCACTGCACAGCAGAGAGACGTGACAGGGCTATGCTCCAGGAGGATGACTCTGCCCATGGCACAGGAAGAGATGATCAAGTCATGCTTGAACTGACTTGAGCTCATTCACTTGTCCCTTCTGAGCTCACTGTGGGCACACTTCTTAAATGTTCATTATAGACATTTTCATAGGTTCATGCTCTCATTTTCATTTTGTTCCAAGTGAACTACTAGTTCTTTTAAGATTTTATTTATTTATTTGAGAGAGAGCACAAGAGAGTACGAGCAGGGGGAGGGGCAGAGGGAGAAGCAGACTCCCCGCTGAGCAGGGAGCCTGACTCGGGGCTCGATTCCAGGACCTTGAGATCATGACCTGAGCTGAAGGCAGATGCTTAACCAACCGAACCACCCAGGCGTCCCAAACTACTAGTTCTTATAAGACACTCTGTGCGGTTTCTCTTTTCTGCGTTTCATCCTGCCATGGGATACACGAATGAGAGAAATGATTCCCACACTCTGTAAGCAGGTCCTGTGGCAGGGCCGGGTGCCATGACATGGTAATAAAGTAAAACAGACGGAGTCCTCCTGTCCATGTCACCTCCCTCTCTAGTTCCCAAACCGGCCATTCTAAATATTTCCCTTCTCCTTGAGGGCCTTACTCCATGCCTTCCTTGTTGCCACATCCTGCCACCTTCCTGACCCTCACCAGCTCCCCACAGATGTGTCGCTTTCTACCTCACAGAAGCCATAAGGCATAAACTCTCATCTTTCTGTGCCTTCCCCCCCACCCCCGACAAAATGCATCTATAGCCATCATTCCTAATCTGGTGGAAGATGCCCCTTCCCCCCCAAATCAAGGGTTATCCTGTCACCTGGATCCTGAATCCATCACCTCCTTCTTTGTGAAGATGACCATCCTTCTTCACCTAGCCTGAACTCCTCGGTCTTATATCCAACTGCTGACTTAACAGGTCTACTTGGATATCTAGTTATGCTCAAAAACAAACTTTTCCCAGATGCTCAGGCCTAAAAACCTTACAGTCATGATTTCTTTCTTTTTCTTCATATATCACATTCCATCTTTCAGCAAATCTTAGTGCTTATCCTTCAAAATATATCCAGAACCACAGCTTCAATCCTGGTGCAAGCCATCTGATTCATGTCTTGCCTGGATTATGGCACTGGCCTTCTAAATAACCCCCCTGCTTCCACCCTTGCCTCTTACACTGTATTCTTAACAACTAGAGTGGTCCTGTTGAAACACAAATCTGATACTGACAACCTTCTGCTTGAAACTCCAAACATGTCCCATTTTGCTCAGAGCAAGGCCCAAACCTTTACAGGGGCCAACAAGGTCCTACGTGATCCACCACTGTGGCCTCTCAGGCCTTATTCTTCTACCTGCCCCTCCCTCACTCTGCTTCAGCCCCCCTGGCCTTGAGGCTCTTCCCCCAGCATGCCATGAACACCTCTGCTTCAGGCCTGGAACATCACCAGGGGTCTTTCTAGGTTCATCTCAACATTCAGACTCTAAGATTATCCTAACACTCATCTGACCCCGAAATCACTTAGAAAGATCCAGGATTAAAGTCACAGCTTGCCAGCAAAGCAGCATCAAGATTTCTACCTTTGGAGGAACCTTCATAACTCTATGGTCCACACCCTGCCCAGGACCTCGTTGCTCCGCGAGCCCCTCCTCCCCAGATCATCTCAGGCACAAGGAAAAGAAATCCACTGGAGGTGGGGTCTGCCTTTACCCTGGCTTAAAATCCTTATGCTCCAAAGGGACTGATATCAGTTGTAACTCAATAGATATCCTTCCTGTGCGTCAAGGGACATGCCCAGTTAGAGGTGTCCCCACAATCACAGAAGTCCCGTGGTGTGGCTTCCTCCCAGGCATCTGTCATTCCTCCAGGGCAGATGCAGTTGACCAAACAGCAGTCATTTCTACCATCAGCAATGTTGCCTAGTAACACAGCTAACATTCTACTTTTATCAGGTCTCCCGGGAAACAGAGCTAGAAAGTTGAGAAAGTCAAATGTCAAATTCTCCTGGAGAAGGGGAAGGGATTTGTGAACACTTTGTCCATGTGTCTCTTGCTTTTGCTCTTCTCTGCCAGGGAGGCTCCTCCCTGGACATCTGCCTGGCCTGCTCCTGCACTTCCTTCAGTGCCTTCATCAGAAGTCACCTTCCCAATGAAGGCTTCCCGTTGGAGAATTGCAACTCCTAACATCACCTGCTGAGACCATCCCCGTATGCTCTCCGTTCTTTTCCATTGTCCTTATTACCTTCTAATATATATAATTCACTAACTGGTTTTTTTCTTATTTGGCTTTCCCACAGAATTTAAACTCCATAAGGCGGTGATATTTGCCTTTTACTTTTTCCTCCTGCATTGATAATTCTTAGCACCTAGGAGAGTACCTGGGATACCGTAGGTTCTTCAACAACCATTTGTTTTATTTACTAATGAACGTATGTCCTTTCTCTCTTTCAAGCTCTAGTTTTTCACTGGTATCCTTTTTGAGGGGTAGAGGAAGGGCAAAATGTTTTCAGGCTCTAAATAAAAAGCAGCGTGGGGTTAGAGATTAAGAGGAGAGAATTTGGGGTCAAACTGCCTGGGTCTCAGAAAGCAACCTCACCTTGGAGGTTTCCCTAAGCTCTTTGAGCCTTTGTTATCTCACTGGAAATGGGGATAATAATAGTACCTACATCTTATGGTTGCCATGAGGATGAAATGAGTTAAAATATGTGTGAAGTATTCAGAAGAGTACCTGACACTTAGGAAGCACTATGTGTTAACTATTATTGAAATCAACTTTTTTTTTTTTAAGGGAGGGAGAGAGGGGGTTGGTGGGGAGGGGCAGAGGGAGAGAGAGAATCCTAAGCAGGCTCCACGCCCAGCACAAAGCCCTATGCAGGGCTCTATCTCATGATCCTGAGATCATGACTCTCTGAAGTAAATGAATAAAAATCTTAAAAAAAAAAAAAAAAAAGAACTGGAACAGTTCAAACCCTGGTTTGCCCCCTATCACAGCACCTAAGGAAATATAGCATAATTGCTCATCACTTTACCACCTAGACCAGGAAGCTCTTTATTTTTATTTTTTAAAAGATTTTATTTATTTATTTGAGGGAGAGAGAGAACATGAGCAGGGGACAGGAGCAGAGTGAGAAGCAGGCTCCCAGCTGGGCAGGGAACCTGACACGGGGCTCCATCCCAGGACCCTGGGATCATGACCTGAGCCGAAAGCAGATGCTTAACCAACTGAGCCACCCAGGTGCCCCTCCAAGTTTTGTTTTTTTTTAAGATTTTATTCATTTACTTGAGAGAGGGCAAGAGTGAGAGAGAGCACAGAGAGAAAAGGAGAAGCAGATTCCCCACTGAGCAAGGAGCCCCATGCGGGGCTCAATCCCAGGACTCTGGGATCATGACTTGAGCTAAAGGCAGATGCTTAACCAACTGAGCCACCAAAGCTCCCCGGTTCTCCAAGTTTTAATACAGCCATCCCCTTTTCTCTCTTCCCCAAGCCCAGTGACCCTCCTCTGTATGCCCTTAGTGCTTTATGGATGCCTCTATCATAGTATAACACCTATTGCTGGTTTATTTAGTTTTACCCGAGAAATGAACTGCTTATATATATATATGTATCTTCAAACTACAGTGCCTGGCACATAACAGGTATGCAAAAAGTATCTGGATTCAATATATGAATATATAGCATCTACATAGAATAAATTTTGATTGGGTTACATTTTAATTCAGAAATAAACTTCGGGAGGGGCGCCTGGATAGCTCAGTCAATTAAGCAGCTGGCTTGATTTTGGCTCAGGTCATGATCTCAGGGTCATGAGATCGAGCCCTCTGTTGGGCTCTGTGCACAGCGCGGAGTCTACTTGAGGTTCTCTCTCTCCCTTTGCCCCTACCCCCACTCACACACTCATGCATGCGCACATTCTCTCTAAAATAAATAAATAAATAAAAATCTTTAAAAAAATGGGGTAAGATAATGTTGTCACCTCAAAATGTTGGTTCTTTCAGAAAATCCTATGAGGGGTTAGTATAAGAGGTAAAGAAAAGAAAAAGGTTCTACTTTGGCCATATAAATGACGCTGTGGCTGTTCATGCTATATTTTACTATATTTTACTATAAACGCAACTTTGAAAGGTAAGGTGTTATCAGTTATTTCCTGGACTCTTCCTTCCCCTAAACAAAACACAAGATAACTTGATTTTAGTGGCATCAAGTATTACTTGACCATAGGCAACTGCTGTTTGGGCTCAGTGAAGTCTCACAAGTACCATATTTACCTTATTAGGAAAGTTCAGTAAATATGTGTTTGGGGCTCCCTGCCATGACTACAAACACCACACACAGGTAGAGAAGGGCAACTAGTACTTACGTAGTGAAAAATCACACTGCCAGCTCTTTTTAAAGGTCTCGATCGCTTAATGTCTTGCTCTGGCTTCCGTTCTGACCTGAGTCTAGGCACCTACCTGGAGAGTACACCCGAACACACCGATCATCAGCATAGCCACCGAAAGGTAGTCGGTGAACACATCCCACCACGGTTTCAGCACACGGAAGGCAGGCTGCTGCTCAGAGAACTGCCGGAATTCTGTCACCGGAATCATGTTGCTGAGAAAGGAAAGGCTGTGAGTTAATTTATCTTCATGCACAACACACCGCATTAACAGTATTCGAAACGCTGCTGCAACCCGTGAGAAACAGTCTGGATCAGTCCAGGAGTTGCCATGGCACCGGAGTTTCTTAGGAAGCCAATGAATGAAACCACCAGTAGAGTGGTTTCTGCATGGAAAACACAAGTCCTTTACTGACTATTATCCCATAGGTGGGTTCCCTTTGGCTCCATGTGGACCAGAGAGACCATGGTCAGGGCAGAGCATGATTTCCTGGACTCTTCCTTCCCCTAAACAAAACATGAAGGTGCCAGAGAGAACAGAGCCCAACCTTTGAAATGTCTCTACTATTTACCTTACCACCCTGCGTGGCTGCTTTAAACTCTTTTAAATGTAATCTCAGCATTGGTTTGTGTTATTTACTGATCTCTCTCTGTAAAATAACGGTGCTTGCTACCTGGGAAGGCAGACGACTTTGCCACATGGTCCTTGTCTTATAAGAGGGAAGATCTCATCAGTGGTGGTTACCATAGGGGGAGGGGATGCTCTGGAAAGGACTTCATTTTTTCTTGCCTCCCATTTTTTTTGTCCCTGTGCTTTTGACTTGATTTCTTTTCTCTATTTTCTGTATTCCTCATATTTCACTGTGGACCTCAAATTCATCCTGATTTTCTCCTCTGAGAAATCAGTTGTCCGTGGAAATGTCTATCTCTATCGAAATAACAGAAGATAAATGAAGAGGATGCACCTGAGACTCTGGGGGGAAGGGGAAAGAGGACACATCCTCTTCTAGTCTGCATTGTACTTTCTCACGGCTCAGTCCCACTGCCTTTACTGTGATCCGGGACTTGAAGTTCATCATCCCGCTACTGTGAGAAGGAATGTTCTTTTCTTATCTCATGGCAACGAATAAGGGTAGCCAATGTGAGACAAAAAGAACATTTCTCTCCCTTTTGCCACCTTTGGATCCAATAATCTAGCTCTCTGCATCCATCCTTGTTACTCCGTCCTAATTAAAGAGCAAGGGCAACGCTACATTGGCTGCTTATTCTCCCAAGCCTTGTTTGTGTTATGGATCTTTCCTTCCTGAATACTGAATTAAGGGCTGTACAATAAACAGCCCAAAGCAAAGCAAAGCAAAGCAAAGCAAAGCATCTTCTTTGAGTTCACAGGTGGTTTATCTTTGGAAACTACTAGCATGTTATCCATTCTGTCTTGTTGTTTTAGCTGACTTCCTTAAGCAGTGATTTGTCTTCTTTTTGGATTTGTTCCTTAACATGATGTTGAAAATTTCAACTGCCTGGTGCTGCCATCACCTATGACCCACATACCTGACATCTGTGTAGCATTTGAGATGACTTCTTTTTTTTTTTTTGACCATTTTCTCATTTTATCAAAACACCACTTTCCTAACTCCATTCTGTTACTTCCGCTGGGCTGCAAGCTTCTTGAAGGAAGAACCTATATGCTATGCCTATGTGTCCTCAAAACATAGGTTGCCAGCAAGCCACACAACCTAAATAAAGAACTTTTGCAGATTCCCAGCGTCCTTGACATTTCAGACTAGTTCAAAATTTGATGTCCTGACACTTCATGACCTCTTTGCTTCTCCATGAATCATTACAACCTCACTGCCCCAAATGTTTCCTAGTCCCGAAGGTTCCACTGGCAGTCACAGAGGCTCTCGTCCTCTTCACCTCCAAATTCTGCTTCAGAAGCTACTGTCCTATTCTATTTTGCATTCCCATCACTCACCACAGTCCCCGGCAAACAGGAGGAGACCCTGAACAACTGTTGTTGAATAGGTGAATGAGAGCATTCCGATGCTTATTCAGGGAGCGGTGCTCCTCCGCGTCAGATCGGGGGTGAGCCCGACCAGCTGCCCGGACAGCGTTAAGCAGGGCTGCCCCTGTGCTCTGGTCTACATTCTTGGATGGATTTCTTGGTTGTTTCCCTCACGGTAAGTTCCTGTACCCCTTGGGGGAACTGGGCTTGTTCTTTAAAGTGAGGAACAATTTCAGGAATAAAATGCACCCGTGTAGAGCAGTGGTTTTCAAGTTTTTTGATCTCAGGACCCCTTCATGCTCTAGTTGTAAGAAGGACTTCAAGGCACATCTTTTTAAAAAAGATTTTATTTATTTATTTGACAGAGAGAGAGAGAGAGTACAAGCTGGGGGAGCGGCAGGCAGAGGGAGAAGCAGGCTCCCTGCTGAGCAGGGAGCCTGATGCGGGACTGGATCCTGGGACTCGAGGATCATGACCTGAGCCGAAGGCAGATGCTTAACCAACTGAGCCACCCAGGCGCCCCTCAAGGAGCATTTTTTTAATGTGGATTGCACCACTCAATATTTACCATATTAGAAAACACATGAGTATACTTTACTTCAGCCACTGTAATTAAAACCAAGAAAGTTTAAAATCTATATATTAACTAACAAAAATAAACACATTACATGTTAAATTAACATTATGAAAAATAACTCCAGTCTCCAAAGCAAAAAAAAATTAAATAAATGAGAATAATAGCATTGTTTTACACTTTTGCAAATCTCTTTAACATCTGGCTTAATGGAAGATAGCTGGATTCTCATATCTGCTTCTGCATTCAATCTGTTGCAATATGTTATTTTGATAGAAATGTATGAATCAAATAGATATGCAGTTGGAAAACAGAGGAGTATCTTAATAGCCCTTTCATATAAATGTCGATATTAATTTTTGATAATATATCAAACTGACGTGGTTAGCTGGATTATGGAATCTGAAAACTATATCAGCAAACTTTTCAAACTTCATGATATTAAAACTCATTCATCTATCTTGTACTTCGAATCGATCTTTTACCCACACATGGTTTGTAACATCATACATTGGTCATCAGGAAAATATTGGCTCATGGAGTTATGCAGATCTTCCCAATGTTGACAAATTATATAAAAAAAATAACATTTGTTCATATCATCACTGCTTCCATGAGAAAAGTTTAAAGGAATGGGAATTTTTCCAAAATTCTAATCACCACTTGAAAGTCTGAATTTCATTTCTGGCAGGAAATAGTATCAGTAGCTTTTCTTGAAGCATTAGGCTTACTTTATTCATTTTGAGAAAATATATTCCACATACTAAAGTCTGAAAAATCAGTTGTTTTAGTCAAATAAAAGTGGCGTAATAAGATAAAGTAGCTAATTTAACTTTCAACCCAAATAAGGACTTTTCCTTGAGACAACCATTATACTGTGCAATGCAGCACAAATGCTTTATGTATTCTCCATCATACAGTGCATTAATACAATATGTAATCATGGGCTGTGTTATTAAAATAATTTTTGGGGGTCAATAAGGACATGAAATGAAACTGGTATTATTTTTAAAGTTGTAAGTGTATGCCAGTGAAGAATATAATCACCACAGTACAGTCTGAAACCTCTATCTTGTTTCATGCTAAGGTGCCCACCATCACTTTTGCATCAAAATGAAAAGGACACACACACAAAAAATCTTAGCATTAAAAAATAGTTTTGACCTTGTGGACTCCCTAAAAAGGTTTAGGCCACCAGGGTTCCATGAACCACACTTTGAGAAGGACTGAGGTAGAGGCTCACTGTTCTTTTCTTTATCTGAAGCTCTTGTTAAAAAAGCAAACCCTGGGCACTCAGACTAAGCAAAGTTCTCTGAGTCCTTGGCCAAGTTGCCTTCACAGGCACTAGTCTTAATATGGAAAATAAAGACAAACTAAGAATCTAAGAAACTTAAGTATTATGCACTGCTTCCTAATACTGGCACAGCCTGATTAAGATGGGTTCTTAGAAAGAAGACATACACATGACCAACAGCACATAAAAAAATGCTCAACATCACTCGGCATCAGGGAAATACAAATCAAAACCACAATGAGATGCCACCTCACACCAGTCAGAATGGCTAAAATTAACAAGTCAGGAAACAACAGATGTTGGCAAGGATGCAGAGAAAGGGGAATCCTCTTACACTGTTGGTGGGAATGCAAGCTGGTGCCGCCACTCTGGAAAACAGTATGGAGGTTCCTCAAAAAGTTGAAAATAGAGCTACCCTATGACCCAGCAATTGTACTACTGGGTATTTACCCCAAAGATACAAATGTAGTGATCCAAAGGGGCACCTGCACCCCAATGTTTATAGTAGCAATGTCCACAATAGCCAAACTATGGAAAGAGCCCAGATGTCCAACAACAGATGAATTGATAAAGAAGATGTGATATATATTTATATACAAGGGAATATTACTCAGCCATCAAAAAAATGAAATCTTGCCATTTGCAATGATGTGGATGGAACTAGAGGGTATTATGCTGAGTGAAATAAGTCCATCAGAGAAAGACAATTATCATATGATTTCACTCAGGTGTGGAATTTAAGAAGCAAAACAGAGGAGCATAGGGGAAGGGAGGGAAAAATAAAACAAGGCGAAATCAGAGAGGGAGACAAACCATAAGAGACTCTTAATCAGAGGAAACAAACTGAGGGTTGCTGGAGGTGAGGGGGATGGAGGGTTGGGGTGACTGGGTGATGGGCATTAAGGAGGGCACTGGATGGAATGAGCACTGGGTGTTATATACAACTGATGTATCACTGACCTCTACCTCTGAAACTAATAATATATTATATGTTAATCAATTGAATTTAAATAAAATTAAAAAAAAAAAAAGATGGGTTGTTAGAGAAACAGCTGGTCAAGATGACACAGCCTTTTAGTGTTTGAGCTCCGAACACACTTCATCTCTTTTGGGTAAGTGTATGTATATGGGCATGTTTATGTACCTGCCATGTTATGTGTGCACATATATACTACATATGAATGTATGTAGACAGATGTATAATACATACCCACACACAGGCTTTATTATTTTAACATACCATAAGGCTCAAAGGTGATATCCAGCACAGCAATAATCCTTGGAATTATTTTTGATGCAAAAAAGGGTAGGGATAAAGAAGTTGATTAAAAACCTCTAATAACTA